TCGTCACGTGGCACTCCCTCTGACTGTGTCAGCTTTCCCGGCTGAAAGGACACCTGTCACTGAGTAAGGACCCACCCTGCTGTAGCGTCCCCTCGCTTTCCCTTGATGTCATCCACCAAGACCCTGGAGGTTAGGACTCGAACATAGGAGTTCTTAGGGTGACTCAGTTCAAGCCCCAGCACTGACTTCAGATGCGCTCACCATGGACCCTGACCACCCGGCTGACCTCAGCTTGCACTTTCTGCCTCTTGCCCACAGTTCCAGTCGCCCTGGTTTCTTGGTGCCTTCAGGATGTTGACAGGAGCCACTGTGTCAGGCTGGAAAGCTGTGCCTCCAGTCGCCACAGGCTACGGCTCGCCGTTCGGATCCTGACCGAAATGTCACCTCGCGGGCCCACCCTGGCCACCTGGTTGTCTCACTGTGATTTCTGCTCTATTGCTTAACCCTCTGCTGATGTGCAGGCTGCCTCTGTAGACCCTCGTACTTCCCCAGGCACATTCTCCACCCTCAGATACCAGCCTTTCCCTGCCAGTTGGTCAAATACTGTAAGTAGGAATTCCATTACTGCTGAACTCACTCATTTCCAGAAAAAAAAAGAAGAAAAAAATCGGATTTGACATCCACTGACTGTTTCCAGTGTAGACTCCTCCTAAGCACACATGCAGTTTGCAAATCCTTTCCAGTGATTCCCAGCAAATTCTTAGAGAAGGTTCTCTCTTGAAAGACAATTGGAGGGGCTGGTTCCAGCGCGGTAGGTTAATCCTCCACCTGGGGCATCGGCATCCCATATGGGCGCCGGTTCTAGTCCCAGCTGCTCCTCTTCCAGTCCAGCTCTCTGCTATGGCCTGGGAAAGCAGTAGAAGATGGCCCAAGTCCTTGGGTCCTTGCACCCACGTGGAAGACCGGGAAGAGGCACCTGGCTCCTGGCTTCAGATCAGCGCAGCTCCAGCCATTGCGGCTGTTTGGGGAGTGAACCAATGGACGGAAGACCTCTCTCTCTGTCTCTCCCTCTCACTGTCTATAACTCTACCTCTCAAATAAATAAATAAATAAATAAAATCTTTAAAAAAAAAAAGACAACTGGAGTGAGAAATCCCTCTGCCCCTTACTTTGGACTTCTACATGGAAAACAAAGATGAGCTGATCCCAGGGCGCCAGCCCCTTGGTGGAGACCCCCGCTGGCAAGGATGGACACTGTGCCCTCTGCTGTGCCTACTGGTGCTTTAATAGGACAAAGTGCAGCAGCTCCAGCAGCACTGACAGCCATGCTCTGGGTGAGGAGTGTGAACGAGGTTTTACCTTTCAGTGGAAGGTGCCAGCTGTGCTAACATCTGTCCAGGGTTGCTAGTTTAGAAGGTCAAAGATTAACTCCTGTATGTCAGAGCAAAGCCTCCTGGGAAGCAAGTCTTCTGGTCTTACGCTGTCAAGACAAGGTCTCACTTCTCCTCTCCATGTACCCAGCTTATTCTACCGGATCCTGTTTTTAATATTTTTTTTTAAAAAAATCTACATTAGAATAGTTTTGGATTTGCTGAAAACTTGAAAGACAAAACAGAGAATTCTTATAAAGCCTCACCTTCCTGTTGTTAACACCTTACTATTGTACATTTGTTGCAACTAGTAAACGGATAACATTATATGATTATTTAATACAATCCATGTTTTGCTCCTGTTTCATTGGCTTTTGCCTATTCTTTACAGAACCCCACCCAGCATGCCCAACTGCGTTTAGTCATCTGGTTTCCTTAAGCTCCCCTGGGCTGGGGAAGTTGCCTGGACTGTCCTTGTTCTTGATGACGTGGGCAGTTTTTTTTTTTTTTTTTTTTTTTTTTTTTGACAGGCAGTGTGGACAGTGAGAGAGAGAGAGAGAGAGGTCTTCCTTTTGCCGTTGGTTCACCCTCCAATGGCCGCCACGGCTGGCGTGCTGCAGCCTGTGCACCGCGCCGATCCGAAGGCAGGAGCCAGGTGCTTCTCCTGGTCTCCCATGGGGTGCAGGGCCCAAGCACTTGGGCCATCCTCCACTGCATTCCCAGGCCACAGCAGAGAGGGGCCTGGAAGAGGGGCAACCGGGACAGAATCCGGCACCCCGACCGGGACTAGAACCCGGTGTGCCAGCGCCGCAAGGCGGAGGATTAGCCTATTGAGCCACGGCACCGGCCCGTGGGCAGTTTTGAGGAGCACTGGTCAGTGACTTTGTAGAATTTCTGCAGCGTGGGTGTATCTACTGTTTTCTCAGTATGAACCTGGGGTTATGGGCTTGGGGAGGAAGCTCTGAGAGGTACCGTGCTATTTTCACCATGCCTCATGGAGAGTGCATGCAGTCAACTTCGTTGTTGATGTCGACGTTGACCACGGATTTGTTGAGCTTCCTCACTGTACACTTGCTTCTCCCCCCATTTCTATAACATGCTCCCTGGGAGGGGCCACCGTGCACACGGCCCACACCTAAGGAATGGGGAGTTGCGCCTCACCTACTTCAGAGTGGAGATTACAGAAGTTAGATTTTGTGCATGGGAGATTTTTCTAGTCTTTTCCATTCATTTACTTAGTTAACCTTTTATATCAGTATAGACTCTTGGGTTTCTAGTATATTCTTTGAGTTATGATCCATTACTACATGATTCATTTGTTGCTTATATTGGTCTGGCTCTGGCCTTTGGAAGCTCTTTCAGGTGGCACCGGGACCTGTGGCCTACCTCCATTGCTAGTTGTTCCTGAGTATTTTATTACTGTCGGGGGCTACAGGAGACTCCAGGCCCCTTTTGTGTATTCCCAGCTATTTCTCCACGGAGCCCTGGCCCAGCAGCCCCACTGCCTTGCCCAGCCCTCCCACCCTTTGGCTCATTAACACGCCCACCTCCCTCATCCTGCTTGGCTTCCTGGATCACTGGGAAATGAGAAGCCACCAGAAGAGACCTTCTGCTAGCTCCCACTTCTGCATCCACCCACCGTGGCATTCAGACCTTTCTGTTTTGACTTCCTTCCTGTTGATAGACAGTCACCGCCCAGACACCTGCCCACTAAATCCCTCCTCCTCGCACCTACTCCAAGCCCCGATGCCAGCAGCCTCCAACTCTTCCCTGGGGCATCAGTTTTTCTCTCTTGACTGCATTATTGCTCTCAGCATCAAGACACTGTTATTTCTCTCATCTCAACAAATGTAAATTGTGGTTAAAAACCCATAAAACTTACCATTGCAACCATCTGTAAATTCAGTAGTGTTCTGCATATTCCCATTGTTGTACAACTCATCTCCAGGACTTTTTCAAACCTGAAACTCTGAACCCATTGAACAATAACTCCCCAATCTCCCCTCCTCCCAGTCCTGACACCACCCTCTACTCTGGCTCTGTGACTCTGACCTTTAGCTGCTGTACATAGCACTGCTATGAACATGAACATACAAATATCTCTTTGAAACCCTGTTTTCAATTCTTTGGGATATATGAGGGTACTTCAAGAAGTTAGTGGGAAAATAGAATTAAAAGATAAGTCGATTTGGGTGCAAAAGTTTTACAAGACATGTATAGTTTTTTCACAATACACATTTTCCATGATTTTTTTTGATTCCTTTGTATGCTCAAAAGTGGAGTTGCTGGGTTGTACCATACTCCTATTTTTGATTCCTTGAGATACTGCCACACTGTTTTCCACGGTGGCTGCCACCACTGAGCATTCCCACCAGTAGTGCACGAGGACACCGGTTTCCCTACCTTACCAGCATCTGCTATTTTCTATTTTGTTGATAGCAGCTATCTTCATGGGTGAGGAGGTATCTCCCTGCAAGGTTAAAAAATCTTTTCTTTGTATTTGATAGGGGGGTGGGGTGCAGGACTGGGGTCAGGCTGAGGCTGAAGTCGGGAATGGGGAAGTCATTCCAGGTTGCCCGCGTGAGTGACAAGAACCCAGTGCCTTGAGACAGGCCTGCTGCTTCCCAGTCTGCGTTGGCAGGAGCTGGAGTCAGGAGTTGGAACCAGGAGTCAAACCCAGGCACTGCAGTAGGGACGTCAGCGTCTTAGCCACTGGGCTAAGTGCCTGCTCCCTAAAAAGTCTCTTAATCCCACTTTTCCCTCTGGCTAACGCTGTTCTTTGCTATTCTCTATGACAAAACCCCTTGAAAGAGTTAACTTTATTTTCCAATCCCACTGCCTTCTTCCCATTATTGCCAAGATTTCATCACAAAGTACAACCCCTCGATTGCACTTCCAGGCTCCTTTCCTCCTTATCTTCACCAGCAGCTCTGACCACCGTCCAACATTTCCTCATCCGGCTGTTTCTTGTCTGACTTCCCCCATTAGAGCGTCAGTTCCAACAGGGCAGAGATGGAAAGCTTGTCTCTGTACTCCACTTGTTGGTATTGCTACCACCCACTAGTCGTCTCCGCCTTGTTCCATAGAAGTAACTTCCAGCTCTTCGTTTGTGATTTCAGGTGGGATCTTCAAGGTGCCCGCTGCTCCCATCCAGCTGCAGGCTGGCTTGGGCAGTGCCTTCTGCAGGAAATAACTGTAGGCAGCAGGCAGTGCCGGGAGGGATGGCCACTGCTCTGTTTTCTGGCAGGATCGTGAGATCCCTGTGGCAGAGAGCTCAGCAGAGAGTGAGCAGGGCCTTAGGGTCAGTCTCTAGGTGGGTGGAGGGCAAGCTCTGTCCACAGGATCTCAGGGAGCACAGGGATGCAGGCAGGGAACTGTCTCCTCCAACCTGCACTAAAGGGCTCATGGATTTCAACTATTCACGCCTCTGTGTTCTCCTACACCCACTGCCTGATGCTGTTTTTTCCTGGGGGCTCCACTGTAAGGGGCAAAGCTGACCTCTAAGTGTGACCTCAAATACAAATCTTGAGCATGAACTTGAAAACTGAAGCTCAACCCCCAAAGCCACCCAACAGAAAGGCGTGGAGGCATGATAGAGTGGCAATGGTAGCTGACACTCAGCAAAGAGCCGCTGAGTGTGTAGAGTATTTCTCATTGATTTTCATTGACCAGGCGGGCTCTCTCTTGCAGCTCAAGTCTCAGGTTCTCCTGACTCCTCTAGCCTGTCACGTCCGCCAAGGACCCCAGAGCCCGACCTCAGCTCCATCCCTCAGGACACAGCCACCATCCCCAACCTGGCAGTCCCACAGGTTCTCACAGGTAGGTCAACAGAGTGAACGCCAAGTGGCAATGGGGAAGCTCACCAGTGAAGAGCTACTTTGTGAGCTTGAGGGATTCATTTAGATCCCGGAGGGGATGAGCAGATTCGCTGACAATAGCAGCTTAATGTCTTGCAGCCTGAAAGTTGTGGAACTTGGTTTTCAGTGTATCTTGAGTTTAGTTGGTTGCCTGGGGTGGGACAAGAGTGGCCAAGATCAGGTGTTACTTTTTTTTTTCCCACAGCCAGAGTTCCTTTGCAGCAATGGAAGCCTGCCCACCTGAAGAGTATTTCCATTCCTCCGTAGGTGTTTCTGGATCTCTTCTGGATCCCTTGGCCCCTCCAATCCAGGCAGGGAAGAGAAATTCCACCTCTGTCTCTGCTGGGGCATCCACCAACCATTTTGTCATAGCAGTGACAGCAATCTGACAGTGTGGCGTGCGCACGCACGTGCATTCAGACATACATAAGAGCCCCTCCATCTCCCACTCCTGTCTCACTGAGATCCCTTCAGCCCTGTCTCACTGTTCTTAAGTAAAAGCCAAGCTTGTTAGAGTGGCTGACAAGGCCTTGCAGGTGCCATGCCCCTGCGGTCCAGCCCTCTGTCCCTAGCAGCAGCCATAGGGTCTTGGCCTTCCCTTTGGGTCACCCTATTCGTGCATTGTATCTCATCCCAGGCATGCCACTCTCCAGGAAGCCCCCACTGCCTTTCCTGCCAGGGCCCCCGAATGGACTCCCCTAGCACCTCCCTAATGAGCCCACAGCCGTGGATTCACACTCAGTCTCTCCAGCTCAGAGATGCTCTGATTACACCTGCTGCCCCCGGTGGGCCATAAGCTCTGTGGAGGCAGGGGCATGGGTTTGTCCACTGTTCCTCCACAGGGGCAGCCTAGGCGTGAAGGTCCCTTGTTCATTGGGCTTTCCTTATCATCTGCCCTGAGCGCCAGAGAAGGCAGCCTGGGAGAGTGAAAAGGGCCCTCATCATGAGAAAGGTAGGAGTTCGAGTCCCTCTTGCACCCAGCCTAGACTCTGGGCAGTCCTCTGAGCACCAAAGACTCAGTTTCCTGGTAGGGCAGTAATAATAATCATAGTAACATGAAAACTCAACTCCCAGGCTTGCTTTGAGAAGCAAACAAGATAAAGCACCTGGCATACAGCAGGTACTCAACAAAAACCAAGGTTCTTTACCTTTTTATTACTACTGAATGTCTTGAAAATCCTGTTGCTTTGCTCTTAAAGTCCCTCTCCACTTTGCACCAGTGATCTCCAAGGTAAGATGCTCATAGAATGTGGGGGCGGGGTGGGGAGGGGAATGGATGAAGTTCCATTTCTTGAGTACGTTTTGTTAGCGCTTTACCATATCGGTGGACGGACGGGAAATAACTTCTCTACCTTCGATCCAAATTTGGGGTAGTTTTTCTTGAGGGGAAGGCTAGGGCACTCTTCGTTTGTTAAGGCACCTGGCTTGATGTCCAGGGTAACTGAAAATCCTAAGCGAGGTCACAATAACATCAGGGTTATTTTCAAATCTTAACTACGCTGACAGTGGGGATAGGATGAAGTGTATGGAGTACAATGTACTGGGGTGGACCAGTTAGGCAACTGTTGGCAAATTACAGATGAGATAGCTGGGAGTGGGAATGTATGTCCTTGTCATAGGGCAGAATTAAATCAAACTTGTGTCAATCAGCCAACTGACTAAACCAATTATATTGATGACAATTAACTCATTAATTAGTCTTCTCAATACACAGTTCCCTACTAACAGGATTTATGAGATATTTCATTTTCTTTTGAATGATAAAACTCACAAAGATCTCCCCAGGACTTACTAATCTATTACATTTGGTAAGCAACCTTTGTGACATTCTAACATCTTTCTGAAGACCTATAGTACCGAAATGTGATGCTTTTCCAATAAAAATGTATGTGCAATATATTAACACAGTTAAGAATGCATATGCTCTAAAAATATATACACTTAAGGACATATGTTAAATTTTTTTACCGATGGGGTGCAATAGAAGTGTGGGGTCCATTGGCCAGGCTCACCTAAGGAAGGGGTAGAACACTCATTTTCACTTACGTTTTGAGTACTACGTACAGTCTCTGGAGTGATCGGCTCATGGTCTTTAAGTCATAGGAGGTTAAAGGGGTGGCAAGCTTTAGGTGTAGGAGGGCAGTCCCTCTGGGTTGGGGGCAGGTCTGTTTGTACACTTGCCTGGCACAGAAACACCTCCGTATACACATGGGCCACCTGGGCCACCATAACTGTCCCCCGTTCAGCTTTAAGAGCAGAGCCACCTGGCAGCTGGAGTATGTGCGTCAGGCACTGAGGGCCTTGTGGTCTGTTCCCACAGTCTGCCTCTACATCAACAAGCAAACCAACGCAGGGCCCTACTTGGAGAGGAGGAAGGTGCAGCAGCTGTCCTCGCACTTCGGGCCTGAGGGCTGTCGGCCGTCCTGCAGCAGGCCGTCCAGGCGTGCCCACCAGCAAAAGTTCGTCTTTCCCCCGGGTCAGGCAGGGCTATGGGGGCGAGGTGGTGTCAGGTAAGGCCCCGGGGCAGGCTGTATGACGGGGGCCCTGGGTGTCTCCGAGGACAGCAGCCATCCTCAGGCTTAGGGACAGTGGGCGTGGCCAAGGTCTGTCCACCTGCTGGGCTCTGGCGCCTTGATGAGCCTGTGTGCTCAGGCCTCTGTCGGGACTCCAGGGGATCATGCTTGCAGACCTAGACAAGAAGACCGGACATCTGAATCCTCACCCTTGAACCTTCTGTTCGTCTCCTCTTCACTGCCAACTATCAGTGAATCCCATTGACCAGCCTTCAAAATTCACCAGAATCCAACACTTGTCATCCCCCATAGCGACTATGCTGGCTCTTTCCAAATCGAAGTCTTAACCCTCCAGTGGCTCCCATGTCACTCAGAGGAAAAGCCCGAGTCCCTGCAAAGGCCACAGACCTGTATGAACTGCCTCTGGCTGCTGCCGCCGCCTGCTGCTGGCCTCTCTCTGGCCCCTACTCTGCTGCTGCCACAGTGGCCTTCTTGATGTTCTCCTTGCAGCCCTCCTCTGGGCTCCTGCCTCAGCTCCATTGCACCTGCTCTGCTCTCTTTCTGGAATGTTCTTCCCTCAGCTGTCTACATAGCTTGCTCCTGGAAATCCCTTGTGTTTCTACTCAAATCCCATCTTATCCAAGAGTCATTTTCCCCATATCTGAAATGCCAGCCCCTGTCTCTCTGTTCTTCCTTACTTTGCTTCATTCTTTTTTTTTCTTTTTCTTTCTTTTTATAAAAGATTTATTTATCAGTTTGAAAGGACGAGTCACAGAGGGAGAAGGAAAAACGGGGGAGGAGGAGAGAGAGAGAGAGAGAGAGCGCTCTTCTATCTGCTGGTTCACTCTCCAAGTGCCCACAATGGCCGGGACTGGACCAGGCTGAAGTCAGGAGCCAGGAACTCCATCTGTGTCTCCCACTTGAGTGACATGGATCCAAGCACTTGGGCCATCTTCCACTGCTTTCTCAGATGCATTAACAGGGAGCTGGATCAGAAATGGAGCAGCTGGGACTTAAACCGGTGCCCACATGGGATGCTGGCTTTGCAGGTGGTGGCTCAACCCACTGTGCCACCATGCTGACCCCCTCCATTCCTTTTGCTTGCACTTCTGACTTGCAGGAAAGTGCCATGGAGAAAGCTCATGCCTTCAATCTCATCTCAGGGGGGCTGAATTATTTTAACAAGGCCCTTTGTCCAGGGTCACAGCCCCCTGCCAGGTTCAGCCCCAATGCAACTGTTTTCAGAGGGATCCTGTTCTCCCCTCTTAGGGGGAGGGGGCAGAACAGGGAGCTCCAGCCCCTTCATGCATTTTCCTGCAGAGGTTCCTGCTTTATTCCAGGCTCTCTGCACAGTGGTGGTCACTGCCTGCCCTTAGTTCCTGGATCACCAGGCCTTGCAGAGGTCTCAACTCCAAGGGGGGAAGGCCTGGTGTCTCCTCTGGCCCAGCGCCATGGACCTGGCCCTCCATATCGCCAGGGAAGAGAGAGGAGATCCCCCAGCAATGGGGCCATGCAGGTGATCCTGCTGGCTGGCTAAGAAAGAGTCAGGGAGAGAGGGGCCCTTAAGGTGACTGCAGGGGCATCCTCTGACTCCACTTCCGCTTCCCCAGCTCTGAGCAGGCCTGGCTCTCACCTGCTGGGGACTGATTCAACTAGAACTTGGCAAGGCTCAGGTGTGCGAGTCTGACCCTCAGTGATCTCTAAGAGACCTCAGCAGGTGCGAGCAGAGATAGGAGGGAGGGAGAGCAGTGGACTGTCCTGTTGTCAGCCCCCCTTGGCTCCCCTGACTTCTAGAAGGAAGCCACGTTCTCCATCCCTGGCTGCCTCTGAGGTTGAAGTCCTTGTCCTTTCCCTTGCTAAATAGCAGGGCTCAAGGCACAGACCTAAGAGAAATTCTGCTCGTGCACTTGGCAGCCACCCCAAGCAGACTCCATTCCATTAAGTTCTGCAGGGCTCCTAGCCATACCCTTCCTACTCGCCCCTCCCTCTGTGGCCTCCCAGGCCTGGGCACTGGGGAGGAGGCTCCGTGTGCCTGGCAGGTATGCCAGGGTGATGACATTTTTCCCAAGTTAGAGAGAATTCCCAGGAAGCCCAGAGTGGAGCCCTTTTTCTTAATGTCTTGGAAAATGCTGGAGCTTGGAGCTGATGCCTCCTGCTATAGCTTGAGCTAACTCCCATTGCTGCCACCTTGAGGTCGCTAAGTGGTGAGGTGGCTTCTCACCTTACAGGTGCTGCTGTGGGACAGCTGCAAGGCTGGTGACCGGCACCCGGCTGTGTGTGTGTGTGTGTGTGTGTGTGAGGGGTGGGGGGGGGTGGTGTTAGGGAGCAGAGGGGAATCAAGGAGAAACAGTGAGACTCTCACTCTCCACATCAGAGCTCATCCTTGGGGCACAGATTTCCAAGTATTTAACAAAATAACCAGGGGTTGGCTGTTTCACTTAGTGGGAAAGACGCTGGTAAGATGCCCACATCCCATATTGGATTCTCTGCATTTGAGTGCTGGGTCCACTTCTCGTCCAGCATCTTGCTAATGTGTGCCCCGGAAGGCAGCAGGTGATGGCCCAAGTACATGGGTCCCTGCTGTCTGCATGAGAGACCTGGATTGAATTCTGGGCTCCTGGTGTTGTCCTGGTCCAGCTTCACACATACTCACTCTCTCTCGCTCTCTCTCTCAAATAAATAAAATTTTTAAAGAGAGAGAGGGAATTTACCATCACTGCAAAAATGTTATTTTCCTCATAAAGGCTCTCCCTGCAGGCTTCTGAGAGTCACCCCCTGAATTTCGTGGTGCTGGCTTAGAGTTGGTGACATTAGTGTGAATCCAGGTTGGTTTGACTGTATCTGTGTTTCTCTCTGCAGACTTAGCTACAGAGGCAGACCTAGATAGGTCTGGGGTGGGGGGCGGAAGAGAGAGAGAGAGAGAGAAGCCATAACAGCATAGTATACATGCATGCATCTCTCAGCTCTGTCCAGAGTGGATGTAGAGCTGTTCACACACCAGGAGCAGTGAGCACACCCAGGGCCTTGATGTTGGTGTCTATGCATCACTCTTCATCAGGAGACAGGACTGTTGCCAGAATAGCTGATTCTAGGACCAGAGCAGGGAGAATACAAGCTGAACCTTGGTGGGGCTGGCACTGTGGCACAGTGAGTTAAACCACCACCTGTGATGGCAGCATTGTATATGGGTGCTGGTTTAAGTCCCGGTTGCTCCACTTCCCATCCAGCTCCCTGCTAATGCACCTGGGAAAGTAGCCAAAGATGGCTGAATACTTGGGCCCCTACACTCACGTGGGAGACCCGGATGGAGTTTCAGATTTCCGGCTTTGGCCTGGCCCAGATGGAAGATCTCTTTCTGCATCTCTCCTTTTCTCTTTGTAACTCTGTCTTCCAAATAAACAAATAAATATTTAAAAAACAAAAAAGGTAAGCCTTGGAGCATACTGAAATGCCAGAAATGCTGATAAATAAATTCCAGAAACGCTAAAATAAAGGTGGGGGCACATATCACAGATGTAGGAGTCAAGCTGAATGAGATTCTAAGGACAAAAACTGGGACAGTTTGAGCAGCAAATTAAACAGGAAGCACTTCAAAAAGTTCATGAAAAATGGAGCTAAAAACTAAGTTTATTTTGATGCAAACCAATTTTAAAATTCATACTTCTTTTGTAATATGCATTTTTAAAAAATTTATTTATTTTATTTGAATGTCAGAGTTACACAGAGAGGAGAGACAGAGAGAGGGAGAGAGAGAGAGAGAGAGAGAGAGATATGTCTTCCATCTGATGGTTCACTCCTCAATTGGCCACAACAGCCGGAGCTGTGCCAATCTGAAGCCAGGAGCCAGGAGCTTCTTCCCTGTCTCCCACACAGCTGCAGGGGCCCAAGGACTTGGGCCATCTATTACTGCTTCCCAGGCCATAGCAGAGAGCTGGATTGGAAGTGGAGCAGCCGGGTCTCAAACCTGCACCCATATGGGATACTGCCGGCGCTTCAGGCCAGGCCGTTAACCTACTGCGTCACAGTGCCGGCCCTTGGAATATGCATTTTTGAAGACATGGACTTCAAAATTTTTTAAGATTTATTCATTGGGGCCAGTGCTGTGGCACGGTGGGTTAATGCCCTGGCCTGAAGCACCAGTATCCCATATGGATGCCGGTTCAAGACGTGGCTGCTCCACTTTTCATCCAGCTCCCTGCTAAAGGCCTGGGAAAGCAGTAGAAGATGGCCCAAGTTCTCGGGCCCCTGCACCCATGTGGGAGACCCAGAAGAAGTTCCTGGCTCCTGGCTCCTGGCTTCGGATGGGCGCAGCTCCAGCCGTTGCGGCCAATTGGGGAGTGAACCATCGGATGGAAGAGTTCTCTCTCTCTCTCACTCTCTCTCTCTCGCTCTGTGTAACTCTGCCTTTCAAATAAATAAATAAAAAAATTTATTTACTTATTTGAGAGGCAGAGTAACAAACAGAGAGAGGGAGAGACAGTAGGAAAGAGGTCTTTCCATCCATTGGTTCACTTCCCCAAATGTCTGTAACAGCCGGAACTGGACCAACTCAAAGCCAGGAGCCAAGAGCTTTTTCCGGGTCTAACACATGGGTGCAGGGGCCCAAGCAGTTGGGCCATCTTCCACTGCTTTCCCAGGCCATAGCAGAGAGCTGGATGAAAAGTGGAGCAGCCAGGTTGCCATAGGCACCCATATAGGATGTCGACGCTGCAGGCAGAGGCTTTACCTACTATGCCACAGTGCTGGCCATGATATCAAATTTTTTGCAGCAAAATAAACTGATCTTCTAATTCCATTTTCCACAAACTTTATGAAGTCCTCGTAGTGTGGTGTTAGATAACCCACAGTACAGAATAGATGTATTGAGACCGTACGGAGGTGAGAAAATAACTGAATAAGGAAACGCAGAAGAAGGGGCGAGTCTTCCTCAGGAAGAATTCCAAATGCTAAGTAGACCTGCCCCCTGGAGAAGGCGGAGCTTAATTTCCACAGTGCCCTTGAGTGGACTTGTTTCCAACGAATAGAAATTGGAGAAGAGGGGTCAGTGTTGTGGCACAATGGGTAAAGCTTCTGCTTGCAATGCTGGCATCCCATATTGGAGTGCTAGTTTGAGTCCCGGCTGCTCCACTTCCCATCCAGCTCCCTGCTAATGCCCCTGGGAAGGCAGTAGAGGAAGATGGCCTAAGTTTTTGATTCCCTGCACCCATGTGAACCTGGCTTTAGTCTGGGCCTTTGGGTAATAAACCAGCAGATGGAAAATTCTCTCTCTCTCTCTCTCTCACACACACATTGTCACTCTGCCTTTCAAATAAATAAATGCATCCTTAAAAAAAATGGAGAGCGGAGGCCAGAGTTGTGGCATAGTGGGTAGAGCTGCAGCCTGTGATGCCAGCATCCCATATGGGTACCAGTTTGAGTCCTGGCTGCTCCAATTTCCAATCCAGCTCCCCAATAATAGCCTGGGAAAAGCAGCATAAAATGGCCCAAGTGCTTGGGTCCCTGCCACCCAAGTGGGAGACCCAGATGAAGCTCCTGGCTCCTGGCTTTGGCCTGGCCCAACCCTGGCCATTGCAGCCATTTGGGAGTGAACCAGCAGATGGAGGATCTCTGTGTCTCTCCCTCTCCCTCTCCCTCTGTAACTGACTTTGAAATAAACAAATTAATCTTAAACAATAAAGGAAAGTGCAATGGAGGAATGCCACCTTTCCTGCTGAGGCTGACATCCCCAGCAAGGTCAAGTGCATATCCCATGCTTCTGATCTGACGTGATAGGAAGGACCCTGCACCTCTCTGGTTCTTTGCCCCCACAAGCTCCCTGACCCCCATATAACCATGAGAAAAACTCAGACACACCTGAACCGCGGGACACTTTACACAGTATCTGCCTAGTATATTCTTCAAAATTGCCAAGGTCGTGAGAAACTGTCACAGGCCAAGGAGATGAAGGAGACATGACAATTGCATGCAATGTGGTGTCCTGGATGGGACCTGGAGAACAGAGACCGGGCATTACTGGGAAGACAGGTGAAAGCCCAATAAATCCTAGGTAAAAACAAAACCAAAGCGAGCAGACAAAATTCCCTGCCTCGGGGTGGATTACCTTCCCAACCCCCTCCCCCAACACCGCCCCAGCTCTGAGTTGCCGTGTGTGTGTGTGTGTGTGTGTGTGTGTGTGTGTTTTCTAGTCTCAGCCTGCTTTGATGGTAAACAGCACCTACGCGTTCTGCCCGTGGTCAACAGCGTGGGCTACGTCCTCCGCTTCCTCGCCAAGTTCAGCCAGAGTCTCCTGTGTGAAGACCTCTTCAGCCACCAGTCATTCCCGGGGGGCTCCAGTGCCTCTGGGGAGGCCCAGGAGAGAGAGGACTGGCCGATGGGGCCAGGTGGGCTGGGCCCTGCTTCCCCACACCTTCCTGGTGGCAGGTGCAGTGGCTGCTATTGCCGTGGCTGGGAGTTCCCACGTGGGGGCCTTCGAGCTGTCTGTCTGGGTGCCTGGGGTGGGCTGGGACTAAGGGGTGCTCAGACAGTCCCCACCGGGGGCTGCAGGGGGAAATAGCCACACCAGCTACCAAGCGCGGACATTCTAGCCTTTCGGCCAATGTCACGAACGTGTACAGGGGGACAGCAGGGCACACTCGAGGCAGGTTTCTACACCGTCCATTAGTGGAACCCGGGCATTTGTCATTCTTGGTGAGTATTTGAAGAACTTGAAACTGAGAAACTCAGAAATCCCCAAGAACCTGGACCTGAAGAATCTTTGACATTGGTCCTGCCTCGGCGTCTTAGATCCTCCCCATGTGAAGAACACATATAACCGAAGTGACTGCAGGCATTTGGTCGGGCTGTACATCAAATATGTCATCTGGTGAGAGTTTGGGCTGCTCTCTCCTCACAGGGTGGCAAACCCGGGGGCTGAGGTCCTATCGTCCTGCCAGCCACTGAGCCGCTCAGGATGGGAGAGCAGCCTGAGGACAGGGCGTGGGGCCATGTGGGCAACCTGGCCATAGTGTCACCTGCCCAAGGGGCCAGATGCCCATGGCAGGTGCTCCTTCCCGACCTTGCAGCTCTGCTTTGTGGATTAGCAGAGACTGCAGCATGAGTGTCAGGATGCACGGGAAATGCACCTGTGCACGTGCTCACACGCTCACGTGCTCGCTCTCTCTCTTTCTCTCTCTCTCTCTCTCTTTCTCTCGGAAAGTTGTGCTGCTGGTGTGTGGAAAGCGCAGGGGCAGTGAGAGGGGCGCCCTGTGATTACGCTGTTCTGCAAACAGCTGCCGGAGCCTCTTTTCTTCCAGGCGCTGCCTGAGAGCCTGTCTCGGACAAGACACATGCCTGAGCTTAGGACAGATTTCAAGGACCAGGGCGAGCCCTCTAACTAATGAGAACCCGACACATCCGCAGGGCTGCGCTCCCAGGCAGGGACCGAGGGCTCTAAGGCTAAGCGAGGCTCTGTCTCAAGCCCAGATGACAGCAGAGGAGGACACATTTGGATTTTAGGCACAGCTTTTCTCAGATATTATCAAAATCCTTGCTTACAATTTTGCTTCAACCTCTTTGAGACCTAGGAAACAGGAAGAGATTCGGCTTTTATAAAGGAAGGTACTTGCTGCAAGCGGACTTCGAAATTTCTATGGAAACTGGAATTAAAAGATCAATTTATTTTGGTTAAAAAACTTCAAAAGCCGTTCATAGCTTTATCACAATATGCGTTTTCCATGAACATTTTGAAGACCCCTTATATAACTAAGTGCACAGGAAGGTACCTAATTAAGCACGGTCAGTGTGAGCAGATGCCGTACATTTCTGTTTTTCTTTTATTTTTCTTTTTTAGATTTACCTTGTTTATGTTAAAGTCAGAGTTACAGAGGAAGAGAGGGAGAGACAGAGATCTTCCTTCTGCTGGTTGACTCCCCAATGGCAGAGCTGCGCCAATCTGAAGCCAGGAGCCAGGAGCTTTTTCCAGGTCTCCAACATGAGTGCAGGGGCCCAAGCACTTGGGCCATCTTCCACTGCTTTCCCAGGTATTAGCAGGGAGCTGGATGGGAAATGGTGCAACCCGTACTTGAACCGTCTCCTGTATGGGATACTGGCGTCGTAGGTAGTCAAACGCCACCCCCACACTTCTGCTTTTTCTCGACGTCTCTATACTAAGAGCTTAGAAAAGTCTTCTGGTCTCCCCGAGCCTCAGTTGCCTGTGTTGAATGAGAGGCCGGGTTGCTGCTGTGGAAAGTTCCTTCTGGTCCTGCCATCTGCAGACCTGGTCTCTCCTGGAAACCGGAGCTGACTCAGAAACACATCCTTGAGTTAATTTATCGCCGAGCGAATCTTGCAATGAGAACAGCAGAAGGGTCTGATTTCACTTCTCAGGCTCCTGCAGCATCATTACGTTGAACAAATGATGGCTGATGGGCCACTGGTCCTCATAAAGCCACGCAACTCATGTCTCCCGCTGGCCAGGAAACCCGTCCTGTGGAACTAGTTCTTCCAAGCCCCTGGATGAAGATCGTAACTCCTGTGATGTTTCTGGTTCCTTAGATTGCAAAATGTCCTTCAGGCCATCAGCATACCCAGGTCTGTGCGATGATCGCCATTTAAATTCCACTCCTAGATCCAACCACTGCCCATCCCCATCTCCGGCTTGCTTCAGGCCAATGGCCCACAGCAGTCAGGAAGGGCACAGTCAGTTTATCCGCCCATGCCAGCCCCCGATGGTGCTCCTCCCACGTGGAACTAATCTTGAGTTCAGAATCCTTTGTGGTAAAGTGGGCGAAGGGAGGAGAGGCCAGAGGCAGCCGGGTGCTTACCCCAGGAATGCTGCTGCGAGTTCCCGTCGCACCTGCCTGGTTCTGGCAGCCTTGCAAAGCTGATTCTTCACCCCAAAGGCTCTTGTGTGGGTTCTTCAGCGATGCCACCACCTCTGACCTGCACTGTCCTTGACGCGGATCTGTGGAGAGAAATCCCGAGGCTCTTCCCGCGGGAGCCTCCTCGTGCCTGCAGAAGGGATCTAAGGTACTCCCATGGCAGGTGTCTCTTCTGACGGCCCGCACCTGGTCCTGAGAGACACGCACACATCCTCTGCCCAGACAGACCCTGGGGGTGCAGGCCCATCCGGGCAGGCCCCTGTCCTTTGTTCTGCCAGCCAACTGCAGCTTCTCAGATGTCCCACGGGCATCTAACAATACTCCTCTGTGTCTCCCACGCAAGGACAAATGCCAAGCTGTCCGCATGGCCACACTGAAGCAATTGGGAAAACACTGGCCACGATTTGTCCTGTGTTCACCCCCTGTTTCTCAGCCTTTGCAGGCTAGATGTGGTGGGGGGGAGGCTTTCCACCACCTCCTTCGGCAAGACCTGCACTGTGGTGTCACCCCTCACCCCGGAAAGTGACAAAACTGAAACACAGGTAGTGTCGTGTTCACGGCTTCTCCCCACAGAACGGCAGCCAGCCTCGCAGCCGGCGTCTGCAGCCCTAAGCTGCTTTCCCGTCATCGGCTGGGGAAGCTTGGAAGTCACAGCCCCATCATCCTCCTGAGCCCTGCCCCAGCACCTGACTACTTTGCAAGTCTGAGTCACTGGCGCCAGCGCTGTGGCGTGCTAGGTTAAGCCTGTGGCACCAGCATCTCATATGGGCGCCAGTTCGAGTCCCAGCTACTCCTCTTCATATCCAGCTCCCTGCTATGGCTTGAGAAATCAGTGGAAGATGGCCCAAGTCCTTGGGCCCCTGCACCTTCATGGAAGACCCAGAAGAAGCTCCAGGCTCCTGGGTTCAGACCGGCATAGCTCCAGCCGTTGCAGCCATTTGGGGGAGTGAACCAGCAGATGGAAGACCTCTCTCTCTCTCTCTCTCTGTCTATAACACTGCCTCTCAAATAAATAAATAAATCTTAAATTAAAAAAAAAATCACTGCAAATCAACCAACCACAGAGCTGTGGGCGCCCGTGCCCTGGGTATCACAGAACCCAGTGCTGTGTGTTTTATTTGCCAAGGAGCTTGGTGGAGAGTGGGGGAGGCCGTGATGGCACTGTGTCCTCCGAATGGGGTCCCTGTCCCACTAGTCTGCCTTGAACCCTAAAATGACACCGTTAGGGCATCTGCCTTCACAGTAAGACATTATTGCCACTTCAGGCGCACCTTGTCGAAGTTCTTTTAGAGGGTGACACAGCATGTGACTAGTATTTTGGAGGAGAACTTTGCTACCCACTCTCTCCACTTTGCTACCCACTGCCACGAGAAAGGCTCGTACGTGTGTGAGTGTGTGCAAAGGCAGGTGGGACCCCCCCCCCCCCCCACCGCATGTACTTTCTTTTTCTTAGGCCCCAAGCCTACCCACATGGTCCCCAGGCAAGACTGTGAGCCTGAGCTGGTCTGAACCAGGGCAAGGCCTGGTTCTGCTCTGCTCTAAGGTTGCTCTATGCAAGGGGAATGTTACAAACCTGGTGCCCCATGCTTGGGGGGTCTGCGGCATTCACTGGAATGTTTGCAAGGACAGCTAGTCAGATGATAGGAGCTGCTGAGACGAAGTCACCAGAAGCTAGTGTTAATTAAATCCAAGCTCTGGCCTCTTAAACCCTGGCCAGGGCCATTGTCATCAGCTGGGAAAGTAAGTCTCGGTGGCCCTCTTGGAACTTTTTTTTGAGAAAGAGATAGATACACAGAGAGAGCATCAGACAGACAGGAAAGGGAGCTCCCCTCCTCTGGGTCACTCCACAGATGCCTGTGATGACCAGGGCTCAGCTAGGGCCCAGAGCCAAGAGATAGGAACCCAAACCAGGTCTCCCACTTACTTCAGCCTTGACTGTTGCCTCCTGGAGTGGGAATTGGGAGCTGAGGTGGGAATCAAACCCAGGCCCTCACGTGGGACCTGGGACATGAGTGCCCTAACCATTGGGCCGAATGCCTGTCCCCACTCCCAGACCTCGTAACTGTAGATTGCCAGGTGTTCTGAAGACACAGAGGGCCAACGCTGTGGCATAACGGGTAAAGCCACCACCTGCAGTGCCGGTATCCCATATGGATGCCAGCTCGAGTCCTGGCTGCTCCACTTCCGATCCAGCTCTCTGCTATGGCCTGGGAAAGTAGTGGAAGATGGCCTAAGTCCTTGGGTCCCTGCACACCCTTCTGGTTCCTGGCTTTGGAATGGCGCAGCTCCAGCCGTTGCAGTCAATTGAGGAGTGAACCAGTGGATGGAAGACTTTCTCTCTCTCTCTCTCTCTCTGCCTCTCCTTCTCTCTGTATGTAACTCTTTCAAATAAGTAAAATAAATTTTAAAAAGTAAGAATATTTCCCCACATAGAGAACCTGGCAGCTAAATAACCAGGCAGAGCTCCCAGGAGCTAGGAGGCAGGTGGAGTGGACAAGGTAAGGAGCTCTGACAAGTCAAAG